GTCAAAATGGGCGTTTTTGATGTTATGTGATTTGGTGTTAGATTGTGTGATACCATTGTAACCTTGTAAATTTTAATCCGATATCTCAAACTGTTCAGAAGTTATTTAGGTGTCCCGGTACTTTTTCCTCACCCTGTATATAAACTATTTTTAATATAACAAACATTGCCTTTTAAATTTATATTTGTTAAAAATTTCTCTGTGTGTTGCATTTTTGTTACTTGCTTTACAGAATTGTACAAAAAGCTTGCAACATTATAACTATTTTAGTTCATGTTATAAACAAATATTGCTAATAAACTTGATAAATAATAATCTTGGTAATGAATCAAATATTATTGAATCAACAGTTTTGATTTGATTTGTTACACAACACATACATATGTGCATACAAATGCATGATGTAACAAATATATCTCAAGCTTTATATAAAACCTGTATTCTGGAATGGATTATTCTAAAAGCACTCTTTTATAATTATTACAGCATATTATCTTTTATAAGATCTGTAGTATAGTTTTTGATATACTAATATTAAATATTAATATTAGTATACTAATATTAAATATAGTATGTCAAAAGAGTTGCAATAACATTTGCATTAACATTTTCTCCATAATATCATACATTTTTTATATGTATAAATAAATATAAAAATATATATATATATTTATACCTATATTTAAAAAAAACTCGATGTAACTATATTGAACATAACTTAACATTTATAAATACGTACCATATTTTCTGAAATATGTTTTCTATTAAAATTTTTCTTCCACAGCGTTATTTGTAAATCCATGCCGCTATGTTGCACTGCATTAAAAATACAGATGCATCAGCCACGTACAAACTGATACTTAAAAATTCTTGCGAATAATAAATGAGAATAAAATTTTTAATGCATTTTACGTCTATACTTACGTGCACACTTCGACAGAGTAAGTTAATATAGATATATTGAAGGCAACCGTATAGTACAAAGAGACAATTTTTTTCTTTATTAATCCAATACCAATAAATGTTAAACTTGTTGAGCAGTGGGGCAATTTTTACAGAGAAAATTTTATCTGTTTTAATAAATCTATGTTAATTCACTCTGTACTAATAGCGCAACACCTAAATATGTATATAATTGAAGAAACGAAAAATATATGTGTGCTTCTGTATATTACATGATATTAGTTTAGTCATTTTTCATACAGATTATGATGCACATTATGATTATGACATGCATCACATAAGCATTATACATGGCTTATGCATAACTTTTATAAAGTGGCTGATGCATGGGTATAAAATACATATTGTATCCATATATTGCTTAATCATCTCTTCGACGAATCAAAGCAGTCAGATAAGGTTTAAAAAATACCGCTTTGACTCTTAAATACTATTTTAGTACTGGAATAACATGGTTATTTGCCGAATTATTTATTCATTTTTGGAATCTCTCTCTAGAAATTAAACACTCGTACTTTTTATCCAATGTTTTCTAAGATGATTATTTGGTAAGAATATTCCATGTGCACATGGCCAATTAATACTGTATGGTTTTTGTGTATAAATTATCACAGAATTTTAATAACATGTTATTAATGCAAAGTGAAATTGTATATTCTCAACCGTATTCAAGCGTCAAATTATCTGAGAGATTCTGATTCTTGTGCACTGTCTAACTTTCTGCTACAGGCTTCAGAATCAAACAGAATTAATTATGCTTTAACCCTAATTTATCTGATTTTTTTCTCTTTTCAAAATTAGAAATGTAAGATTCAGTTAAGTTATGGTTAAAGTTTATTGATATATTGATGAAATCGACTAGAAATTATATTAGCTGCTTATTAAATTTCTTCTAATTTTAACACTTTAGCTGCTGCCCGTTTCTGCGATGTGTTTGGAATGAAGTTTATACTTTACTTTTTTAAAGATTTACTGAAATAATAATTTTTTATGTGAAGATATATTTGATATACTGATCATAACTTTTGATCGAATTCAAATTTGATGATTCAATCCATGTTTTTATTATATCTAAGATGCATACGGATTTCTAACAATACTCTCATTGTGTATATCTCACTTAATATATCATGGCAGTTAAGGCGTTAAGTAAAACATTGGTAAGGTTTTATATATAATTGGTTTTGTGAAATAATATATAATTGCAAGATTTTGAAAAATATCTAATTTTCTTAATTTTATAAAACACGTATAAATTTATATTTTAGTTAAGTAAGAATCATGCAATCGTAAGTACAAATGAGCATTATCGATTATATTTTAGGATATAAAATTATGTTTAAAATTGATTCAAAATTTGCGATAATCATTTTTATACTTAACAGGCTTATATTATGTCTTGATTTTAAATATTGCTGTTATTTTTAAACACCGCAAATTTGAACGAGATACATAATCATGTTTGATACAGAAACATGACCTCTTGATAATATAGAATTTATTATTCTGATCATTGTCAATGTTAAAGAAAACGAAAATATGCTGTAAAGATATTTATTAATTACTATATCTTATCTCTTTATGCCGTATTGTGACTTTATACATTAGTTTTTTAAATTATATGCATCACTTTTTTATCGTTTATGTTTAAACTTACAAGAAAATATAACATTCCATGTTTTCAAGAATCTTTGTGGAGCACAATATTGGTTATAAAGGGTTAAGAAAATAAAAAGGAATATCAGGAATTGTTAGAATTATTGTGAAATTTTTTATTATCAGATTCCATATAGTAGGTTTCTTTAAACTATAAACTACAAGTTAAGCTCATAATCTAGTTTATTGCAACTTTTGATCGATTAAAAGATCAGATTTTATGTTTGATTTTAGTAATATATTGCATATATTATAAGAAGCATTTTCATAAATTTTATGAACTAAGTGAAAGACTAAATTTTTCCAATGTTTATTGATTTCCATTCATCTCTATTTTTATTGATAAAATTGAATGTTACAGAAACCATCAGTAATATGGATGACACGCAGTATTTTCTAATGTATCGAAATTGCTATTATAATTAGTAAAGAGCTATCGGAATATTGCAGATGTTTGATTATCATAAAAATATCTGAATTTAACAATAAGCCAAGCTGCATTTCTAAGTAAAATTGTGAAGAGGTTATCTTACAAAATTACGTGTGATATCGACTGGCACAATTTCTACAAATACCTTTCATCGGTAATGTAGATTTATACTTCTAGATGATTATCAATGGAGTATTATACTAATTAAAGTTTCCGCAGGATGTCGTGTTGATCCACAATTAGTAATTGCAACAATGGACAAGCCTCATCGATTTGTTGCATATTCAAGATATTTGGGATACATATCATGGCTTTTTTCGGTAAGCATTCGTAATGAACGGTACGAATGAAGGATGAGATCGTAGCGTAAGGAACATGATTGTATTTGTATAATTGGGTAATATATGATCGACATGTTGGAATGCGCAGCACAAATCGTGCAAGACGCGTCGTAACGACTTGTGGTTTCGGTCGTTGTCGTTTACTTTCGTCGCGCGTCTGGCGTCTCGTAAACGCGACGTGACTCGTCGAGCGAACGGCGGCCAATGCAGTATATCGCGGCAGTGAGAACATTTGCTATTTGCAAGCTCGCCGACCGTAGACATACAGATGGTCGACTACGTATATACGTTTACGTGTTCAGATGCGGAGGGGGGAGAGTGGGGACGCGAGTAGACTCGCGTATTCTATGGGCGGGGCTTTAGCCAGCTGGCAGATGTTTCCCGCGCGGCCGCGTCATTCCTCTAGCGTAAACCTACGCGACGCGCAAGTAGTTCCGTTGTGGCGCTGAATATTTCTCGTAATAGCCGACCGCCGGACACGGACACGTTCACATACAAGTTCACACAAGGCACTGAGCGATCTGCGGCGTTAGCAGCTGTTAAAAAAGCGGAAATTGTCAGACGATTACGGAGATGAGTTGACGGGGGATAAGCCTGGAGTAAGTTCAGGGCAGAGCAAAGTGCACGACTTCGCCCCATCTAGTAGGAGCTGCCACGATTGTACGGGAGCGCGCTCGACGGGGACACGATTTTCAAGTGTCTCGCCAGGTGAATTTGTCCGCGAACGTTGTTACCGCAAGCGCTTTGAGTGCTGATATTTCGCAATTGATATGCGATGCATACGCCGTAACAGTGGTTTACACGTTCGGACTTGCTCAGTGTCGCCCCTTGCCAATGCATGAACACGCGTAAAAATTCTATTGACGCATACCGCGTGCGATGATTCTGCCGGCATGCCCAACGATACGCGGAACATCGCTCTGCAGTACATCTTAATCGGGCCGAAATTGTGAAGATATTCGTAAAAAGTGCATCGTAAGCGCGAGAAACTGGATATTTTCTTTAAAAAATTGTGATTGAGATTGTGCAACGTGAATGTTTTATATTCGACTGCTGTACCGGAATGCTTCGACGTGGTATTTTTTACATGTGACATTTGCTGGAAAACCACTGCGAATTAACTGGTAGTATATTGACCGCGAGTTTCGCGGGTGAAAGAAAGTGCGACGCCTTGAAGAAAAAGAAGCCTGGGTTTTGACTGCGTAGTGACGTCCCTGACGCCGGGCGGCGGAGTGATTCACGCGCGTCGTGGGGGCCCTCAGCTGTTTCCCGCCAAAGATCGCCATTACAAAACGCGTCCGGGCGTTGTGTGTGCGCGCCGCGCGGAGCGTGTGGCTGTCCCGTGGACGATCTTCGTGCGTACCGCCGGAATCCGTTGAGGAAAAAAGGGATAGTCACGAGAGACGGCGCGAGTCAGTAGTGACGAGTATCGCGTACACATATATAATATCGTATCGTGATCGAAGACGTGGTGATAAAACGCGCGTTGTTTGTCCCCCCTTCCCCGCCCCGGTGGAGTGCGCGGTCGGGCAAGCGAACGAACAGCCGGGCGAGAAAGAAGTGCGCGAGAAAGAGTGAGAACGATAGCGAGAAGATATCGAGAAGAGCAGCAGGACCCGTCGCTTTTTGCAGCCGCGACGACGGCTGTCAGGGACGTGAAATTAGCTCGGCGGGATTTTCAGTGCTGCGGACCGACGAGATATGTCAGTGTTTGGTGGTGACGATCGGATTTTGCTCGAGGAAATCGTCGAGGCTACTGAGCAGCCGGAGGTTAAACTGTGCGGGTGAGTCTTTCCCTTGAATATTTCGAGAAAGAAAAGGATGGCACGCGTGGTAGTAATAACGGTGATGGTAGTAGTGAGCGAATACCACCATGTGTCGATGTATGCATGCGCGCGTATATATACATATATATTCTGTGCCGCGTTTGACACGGTGCGGTTATATACATGGTACGCGCTCGTAACACAGACGGAGTGAGACAGATAGATATAGAGAGCAAGAGCGAGAGGGAGAGAGCAAGAGAGAGAGAGGGAGAGAGAGAGAGGAGAGTGAGAAGGAGTAAGAGGGACGGACGATCTTTATTGGCTCTCTTGAGTGTCGTGTCCGACCCGCTTATCGCCTCAACCCGTTTGCGAGAGCGTAACATAGCTGCCGCCGTGGCATCGGGGCGGCCGTGCAACAACGTCGTTGAGTTTTCGCGCGAGGCGCGTGCATATCGAGCCACGCGAGAGAGCAAGCACAGCTGTTGAAGCCGGCCGGCCGGCCGGCCGGCGCCCGTTGCCCGATATCCGCTGCTGGTGGCTGGCCGATGTGTGCGTGATCGTGACGCCGCGTCGTCGGCGGCCGCCGCCGCCGCCGCCGCCGCCGCCACCGCCAGCTCCCCCGAAAGCCGTTTTCCGCTGGAAATGCAGGGACGCGTAGCGCGGCGTCGCGCCGCGCCGGACCGGCACTCTCGCGAATCTCCACGCTCTTCATGCGTTCACGCCCAACAAGCATGGCGCTCTTGCTTGAACGCGGCGGATGCCTCCCGTCTGCGACGTACGCATGTGACATTTCTTCCACTGCTGAGCGCTGCGTATACATCCGCATTTCACTGTTATGTAATATAATTCATAATTATATAGAAATATTTTTCTAAATTACGCGATTACGTATTTACATTTAATGGGCGGAGTAATACAATTTTTTTTTAAATTAACTTTAGAATTTGTTCTCGTATTTTATTCTCAACTGTTTTAGAATACGTCTTATTTGATGTTTTTTAAAGGCGTGTATGTAACATTATTTAGGAATTGCGCGAGATAATTGGCTAGAATTTGGGATTTTTTTTATAATGGTAGATTTATCGATGAAAATTGATGCAAAGAATACAATTTAATATATTGCTTATGTTAAGATTAAATTTACATTTATAACATTTTTTTATGAAGATGAATATGCACCTTATAGTATCCATTTATTCATAACGTTACACGATATAACGTATCGAAGAACAGTAAATCTCGCTGCAATCCGGCAGTAATGGGAAACTTATACATAAAATTGTAAGAATGTGAAATTATTACAATATTAATAAAATGTAGCTGTAACGAAGCTAACATAGCTAGGTTCAACCAAGTATGTCGAATTATATTTTTACATTTTCTTTTGTGTGTGGCGTATGGTTTTTTGTCTCACGTTTGAGTACAACGATCGTAGAACAAAGGAGCAGGAAGGCGCGAGGAAAGTGTGTTCTTTTGTGTACAGCCGAGTGACCGACAGAGTCAGGGCATAATACCGCCGTACGCGTTACGTAAAGCCGCGTTTGTTGCACAATAATCGTTTTCTATAAATAACTCCAAACATACACATACACATATGTCGTGCTACGACTTGACTTCTTGTTTACATACGCTCATCATAGTTTTACGCTCGCTCGCGCTACATCCCTCGATATAGCATCTTTCAAGCTCCGAATCTTAAAAGAATATAAAACTTTATTCATAATCTGCAGATATTTTATTCGCAATCCACGTTTTTATATTAAATCTTTATTGCATTTATACAAAGTAAAATAATAATTTGATTTGCATAAACTTTGGTGTCTGATAGATACGTTCTTGATTAATTGCGTGTTGTTGCGTTAAGCAGTGCAATATCATCATGACATCATCACTATCATAATTCCATTAAAAATAAAAAAATTGTAATTTATGGTGTAAAAGTATGAAACATCGTACGCCATGATAATAAAATTAAATGTCACACAATGCTGTTATCATCAAGCGAATTATTACAATTGGTATAAAGCGTAAATAAGTTATCTAGGCACGCAATATACTTAATGAAGTAATAATATCGTTTCTCATTTATATATCATAACTTTTACATTCTGTTTATGTACATTTCTAATCAGGATGTAACAGTAAAAATGATAAAGATAGCTTAAACGCCTTCATGTATCCACATTATATAATTCATTATTTATTGAATATATTTTACTTATGTGTATATAATAGCATTGTCCAATAGCGTTGTCATGTAAGTCTGGCAATAAATCCGTCGTCGTAATTACACAATAGGACGTTGAGATGAAACTATTTCTAAAATTTTCTTCACACGATGGAACGTATAATTTTGACACCAAAGTTGAACGTAATGCATAGAATCACGCAAAATGTGTTTATTCGCTAACGACGAATTGACCTGTTATCCGTGGTAGTAGGTCTGCCGTTATATAATCGATATGATTCTTGCATTACTGATCGCGATAAATTTGCTCCGAGCCGCTCCGATAAAGTAATTTATTCTGGCGTACGCGAATCCACATGCTTCTCCAACGCAACGCACACAGTTCTTCACACACGATTTGTTTGTTCGTGTTTAAAGACGAGACCCGATCTGAATACAGTTTTTGTGAGTTCGTTCGCTCTTCAAAACTCACGATTTAATAAATAGGTCGAGCCAATCCTGACCACGGTCAACGTAGTAGCACCATATCGTACGTACATTGCTTTTTAAGTATATACACACGCGGGTATATACGTCGCGAGCGCATGCAATCAGGGAAAGGTGTGAGCGAGCGAGCGAGGAACGCGCCGGAGCAAGATGCAGCGAGTGAATTATATATCTCACGGTGCACCTACTCGTACCGGGTTAACCTCTACATTCGGGTGCGCATGCACCCAATGAAGGTGTGTGTTGTGTGAAGTTCATTTCGCGGTACGACGCAAATCATAGGCGCGTATACGCGTACCTGTGAAGACGTTGTTGATCTCTTGATTGGCAGGTCAATGTGGGCTGCAATTGTGAGACAATTACAACTGTAAATTTACAATATATACAGAGCAATGAGAATTATGATTTAAGAAATGAGATAGGAATAGAATACAATTCGCGAAATGGTTCGCAAGCATGCTGCTTGTAACAGTTTAAAACTATCTCTCTTTATTTTGTGTCATATCTATTTATTTGCTAGAAATAAATCTATGTGTTGTGTTTTGACATTTCGGTCGGATTTATAACACGGCAGCAAAGTTCAATATATAGAGAGAAAACGTCGCGTCGTAGCGTGTCACGTCATTGCACTGTAAAATCTAGACATTTGCATGGCTTCGTCTAGGAATGGGCTTAACACCTGTGTCGCAACTGCATATTTTTTCCAATCTTGTTATTCGCCAAGACTTACTGCCGACTGGTTAACCGAGTTGACCATTTGCTACTGTCCATCCATCCGTTGCGATAAGAGCCGATCCGGAGTTTCCGGACTGTGTCTTTATCGTTTATGCAAATACAATGCGAATGATAGGTCGGCTGCTTGCGGTATAACGTCCGTAATAGATAGGAGAATCCCGTCGTGATAGACATAAGTAGACAAAACGGGTCTTTATTTATCCATATCTACCCGGAACATGACTTCGTAATAAAGCTCTCACGTGTGTAGATACTTCACTTGCGTTGCACACCTGCTATATTACTATTAATTAATGAAAGACATATTTAACTTTACGTTCTGCAAAAATATAATTGCCGCGATATAGATATAGCTAAAGGTTTTAAGATTCAGCCAAATCGCGAATTTTATTTTATGATAGAATTTTATGAAAAAAAGCTACTTACAATATTATTCTTTAATTTATAATAATCAATAGTAATTTATTAATTCGATCTCTTGGTTGATGTAACTTTTACAATGCAGGGCATAAATGAGAACGTCCGTAACAATGGATCTGTGAAGTTAGCGCGACATAACTTCACAGATCCCGTAACAACGCTGTTTAATAATAGTAAATTAATAAAATATTCTCTGACATGGCTTTGTAACGTAGCACGCAAGTGAATTTTATCTCACAGCGTTTTACCGATTGCAAAAAATATTACATTGCATGATATTATTGTTTAATTATCATTAATTTTTATTCGCGTTTTAAATGCACTTTAAATACGCCTTTAAAATACGCACATTACGCAAGTAGCAATCTGCGAGCAATCTATGCGCTGTTAGGCTCGATAATTCCTAGAGAGACTATTCAATCGTTCAATTATCGTCGCAGCGAATAAGCAGGCGACGATGGGGACGTGCACGACCTAACTCAACAAAGACTATGCGATTTTTCCAGTGCAATGTACACGTAAATATGCAGCGCGCGATCATCCGTCGTTAGGCTGGCGGCTTTCGAGGCTAGCAAGCTAGTCGCTTCGTGACCGTCTGCGAGCCGGATGGTCGTCGATGAGCCGGTATTCCTGTCTCTTTTTATGGTCGCGCTTACGTTCATACACGCCTCTCTCTTCCTCCTTCTCTGTTAGCGCGATTGGAACGCGTGGGTGTGAGTGCAAGATAGGGAGCATGAATAAGATTCCTGATTCTGCGTTTAGAATCGTCTGTGCATAAACTGCGACACAACCGTTATCGCAACTGGAACAATCACCCGGGGTTTAATTATGAATTTCTTTATTTTTTTTTTTACGGATAAGGTCGCGCAGTGCCATTTATCTTACTTTGGAATTTGCCCTAAAACGTAAACGGTCGTAAAAATGCGAATGGTAGGAATATACGATGTATACGATTTTTGCATAGGAACGAGTGTCAAGTACCAGGTGCAGTTCTATAGCTAGAAATAACGAAGCCAGCTGTCGCCTGGCTGAAAATATCAGATTACCGTTTCCCTAAACGAAAATTTTAGGTAAAATGTAATTTTTTTGATGAGTTTGCGTCTGACTTTGTACATTTTTTTTTTTACCTAAATCATAATTGTAATATTTACAACAATCAATAGCTTTTGTGCGCAGGTACAGAGTGTCC